CCATTTCCGTCTCTGCTGCCGATACTCAGATGTACACTATAGATTACGCTATAGCTAGGTTATGCTACCGTGTCAGCAGCCCTGCCGGCAGCTAATTGCATCGATATCATTAATCAAACAGGTTGTAACGAGTGTAATGCTTGAGCCGGTCCCTCCCGCCCTTCCGCGCACACACACAAATACGTGTGAAGTTGGCCGCAGCGAGTGAGTTGGATGATTGGGGCGGGAGCGCACGAGGCGATTATAGTGCCCGCTCGGTGTGACAGAGAGAGAGGGCCGTAAAGAGAGAGGAGCGCGTAGAGGCTAGAGGGGAGCGATAGAGAGAGGCGAGAGAGCGAGAGCGAGAGAGAGAGAAAGGGAGAGAGAGAGAGAGAGAAGAGAGAGAGAGAGAGAGAGAGAGAGAGGGAGAGGGAGAGGAGAGAGAGAGAGAGAGAGAGAGAGAGAGAGAGAAAGGGAGAGAGAGAGAAGAGAGAGAGAGAGAGAGAGAGAGAGAGAGAGAGAGAGAGAGAGAGAGAGAGAGAGCGCGAAGCGAACGAGCGAGAGAGAGAGTTCGCAGTCGCTTATCTGATTTAAACGTATTGTGAGTCAACGGCAACTGCGCCGCCGGTGAAGGCATAAATATACATCCCCCCGCCCATTGACGAACCTCCCCCTCCGCATTGCGCATGTTGATTATAATGGTCTAACAGAGGTCGCATGGCCCCCGTGCCATGCGCGCAATACCTGCACATGCCAGTGAGAGAAGCCTCTGTACATGCGTGCGGCGGCGTGTGTGTGCGTGCGTACGAGTGTGTGTGTGTGTGTGTGTGTGTGTTGTGTGTGTGTGTGTGGTGTCGTGCGTGCCGTACGAGTGTGTGTGTGTGTGTGTGTGTGTGTGTGCGGCGCGCAGCGCGCGTGCGTGTACGTGAGCGTGTGCGTGATGCGTGTATTCGTACCGCTTTGCGTAACGTCGCGTGTGTGTGTGCGGCGCGTTGCGTGTACGTGCGCGCATATCGTGTACTCTTGGCGAGACGGCCTTGTGAAATTATGGCGATGCGCGTGTTGGCGTAGCCTTGCTCAACAAAACATATATATATATATATATATATATATATATATATATATATATATATATATATGTATAGGTGTCTACAATATATATATATATACAGATATATACATGGCGGCTTCACGCAAACGTTTTACAAAAGGCGTATTACTTTATTCCCTCTCGCTGCATGCTGATTAAAAAGCGAAATACCCCCACCTCTCTATACGCAACAGTCACAGGTGCCGCTGGAGACCAATAGAGAAGCGGGGAAGGGGAGTATAGATGCGAGCATGTACATACATACACTCGCGCGCGCGTTTGATGTTGTAGCGTGCCTTTGCCACACACCTGTATGTATCTCTTTCGTGCGAATTAAAATTGACATGCAGAGAGGCTTTCATCCACACGTAACAAATTCTGCTGCGTGACGAGAGTACGGAGAGAGAAGAATGAGTGATGAATCATACAGAGAGAAAACAAGAAAAAGAGCGAGAGAGAGAGAGAGAGAGAGAGAGAGAGAGAGAAGATAAGAGAGAGAAGAAGAGAGAGAAGAGAGAGAGAAGAAGAGAAGAAGAGAGAGAGAGAGAGAGAGAAGAAGAGAGAGAGAGAGAGAGAGAGAGAGATGGAGAGAGATGGAGAAAAGAAAAGAGAGAGATGGAGAGAGAGCGAGAGAGAGAAAGAGAGAAGGCGGGAGGAAGAGAAGAAGAGAGGAAAATGTGAGTATGGGTGTTTGAGAGAGATCGAGAGCGCTGAGACACAAGAGAGTAACTAGAACAGAGGGCACTCACGAGAGTGCATACCTCCGCAGAATGTACAGGCACGAAAAGAGGAACACACGAAACACGAACATCGATCGATCGACACAATATGTACACGAAAACACGAACACACGAACAAACAAAATAAATCCAATATTCTTATACTTTAGCTGCGCATGGCATTGATTCACTAACTACATGGCATCTAAGACGGATGAGACCATATCATGGTCCTGAATAGTATAGCATCGAGAACGCTCAGCAGCTAGCACCGCGCGACAGTTCGTAGATTGCAGTTCTCTAGTAGTTCTAGCTTGTAGGTAGTAGAATCGCTGAAAATAAATTGATTGTTGCGCGCAAACAGAGGCGACGCTGCTGCTGCCTTGGACGTTTTAAGAGGCGAGCTGGCTGCTGGCTGGCGCGGCCTAGAGGCGAGCTGGAGTGCGCTGAATCGATCGCGCCAACGCGTGTAACACTGTATCCGTGCTCGCTGCATGGCATACACACACACACGACGCATCACACGAGAGGGATCACATTACCTCCCCCTGCAACTCCGTTGAGCACGCGCGGAGGGTAATGAGAAGATGTTATACAGTGTAATATACATCGCTCGCACCGGCACACAACATAGCATACACACACATCATACACCACACACACAGCACACACCACACACGTAGCACACACACACAGCACACACAGCACACACAACACACACACACACCACACACACAACACGACGCGCGGGCGCGCATCCACATACATACGCACGCACGCACGCACGCACGCACGGCCACACACACACACACTACACACCCACGACAAACTGCACATACACAGAGAAAGAAAAGAGAGAAGCGCTAGCGCGCACGAGCGACGACGGAGAGGGAGCAAGGCAAGGAAAACGAGCGAAAGAGGACAAGAGAGTGAACGAAGCGGCGGAGCGAATCTCGCAAAATAAAGCTAACGGCCGTACACAATTCCAGCGGTGGGACAAGCACAGGCTTGTCCTCCAGCAGCGACCTCTCTCTCTCTCACCTCTCTCTCTCTCTCTCTCTCTCTCTCCATCTTCTCTCATCTTACTCTCTCTCTCCCATTTCTCTCTCTCATCATCTCTCTCTCTCTCTCT